CACACACACACACACACACACACACACACGTTACAATCCAGCCCATCACAGCACCGCAGAGTCTGTAATAGTTTTTCAATTGGACACGTTCTATATCCTGCCTGAGGGTGCTCGAATGAAAATGAGCAGATTTGCAGGGTTAATATTGTCGTTAGACTGTGACCTCATTCAGCACAGCTCCAACACTGCGAGGTCTGTGTAGAAAGAGCAAAAAATTAAAGCATAACTGATGGGTTGAAGGATTCTAGATTTCTCAGAATACATAGCATTTACACTGTAATTCACAAGTGCATGGGTATTGCTAATTTTAAAATTAAAGCAGTGTTTCTTGTGCCGGCGGAGGGAGTGGGGATGAGAACTGGGCTTGCTGAGCCCCCCGCCTCTCCCCATCCCAAGACTCCCTGATCTGCTCCGTGTCCCTTTGAATTTCTAAGGCATTAACTGACATTAGCTAACAGAGTCAAGGGGCTTCACCCAGTATTTTCTGTATTGGTCCAAATGGAAAGAACTTTTAAAGTTAATAGGCTGGGGCTGGGGAGGATATTTGGGGCCAGGATGTCTCCACCTGTGACGGCGACCGGGCGTGTGGGATCCGTCCCATTCCTCCAGATGCTTCCTCTACGCGTTTACAGCAACCCCTTCCCCTTGGTGGAGAGCAGAGTTGACGCTTTCTCGTCCCTCTCTGGGCCCCAAGGGCTCACCTGGGAAGTCACCGCCTGCCACACAGCACCACCTCTCCAGCAGCCCAAGGAAGAAGCCAGAGCCCAGGGGGCCAGCACTGAGAGCTTCAAAGAACCTGGGTCCTCTCTGAGAACGTGGCGAGGCCGACTCAGCAACTCTGGGCCTTCTATCTCTAGAATTCTTGTTACTTGGGAAAATAAATATTTTTAAAGCTACTCTGTATTGTGCCCTGTCCCAGTAGGGTACCCTTCTTTGCCTGTCCCACAGCTGCCTTCCCCTGAGGCCACCTGGCTTTGGGAAATGAGGCCTGCCAGACAGAGGCAGCAACATTTTCTATCATCTTATCGCCCTTCTTCAACTCGACTTCATCTGTCTTTCTCTTTCATCCTTCAGCCGCTGTCCCTGTAGGTTGCGTTTGTCTTTCAGGGTGACTTCTGAAGACAGGAATCTTGAGCCAGAGAATACAGAGGAGTTGGATGTGCTACCACCTGCTGAAGACACACCTCAGAGCATCAGAGAACATTCTGGAAGGTGGGCAGACAGAAATAAACAAAAAACCCTTGCTCAGCCCGGGGAAGGAATCCTGTCCTGATATGGTACGGCCCACTACTGACTTCCTTCCACAGTACTCATTAACATCTCCCGAGTGCCATGGCTCAACAATCAGCAGACAAGACAAGACTGGCCCCTGCCCCTACCAGACTTGTTGATCAAGGGAGAGAAAGACTAAGAATCAACCAAGGATAGGGCAGAGGAAGGTGAGGTTACCATGGCAGCCAATGGAGGGCGCCACTTCACCCAGGCCTGGGGGCTAGAACAGAGGATGGAAGGGGGCAAGCTAAGCTGTGGTCTTACAGATGGGAAGTTAGCAAACACTGAGATGAGGGAAGAGGGTTCCGAACAGCACCGCCAAGGTCCCAAGGTGGGCAAAAGCACGGTACATACTACAAACTTTAAGTGCAAGGGTCCAAACATTTATTTTCCCAGGTGGAGGGATAATGCAGCACAGGGAATCTTAGATGATGGTCATCTGAGAACCACAAAATTACACGATGATCTACAATGGAAAATACAGCAAAACCCACCATAATGTCCTTCTGTATGCAGAAGAGGAGGAGGAAACAGCAGGGAGCTAACAGCCAGCTGTCTTAACAGTGCTGTCCAATGGTACTTTCTACAGTGACAGGAGTGTCCTTTATCTGCACCGTTCACTATGGCAGCAGCTGGTGATGGGCTGCCACTTGAGTACTTGGAGTTGAGCAAATGAGAGTAAGTGAATTCTTAAATTTTAATGTATTTTAGAGTTTTTTGTTTTTCTTTTTTTTTTTTGCAGAACTAAGGATTGAACCTATGGGCTCTTGCATGCTAGGCAAGTACTCATCCACCAGTGTACAATCCCAGCCCTTAATCTATTTCAAATAATGTACATTTTAATTCAGATAGCCACCTGTGGCTACTGGCTATCATACTGGCTAATAAGGTAAACTTTGCTTGAACTTTTCCTACTATGTGGAAGCCCAGATGATAATACTGAACATATCACCGGTGTGAGGGAGAGGCATTCTAGAACCCAACACACCAGCAAAAGACCCCGCTACACACCCATGTCCCTCTCGCTTTCCAACAATATTCCTGGGCTGTGGGTAGCTCCGGGTAGAGTGCTGGGCCAGTATGAGTGAGGTCCCAGGTTCGATTCCCAGAACCCAGTATTCCTTTACTGGTATGAGAATAAATCAATTAAAAGCCACACAATGAGGGAAATAGACTGAAGCCCTGATGGACTGGACAAGACGGGCGTCAGACACCCAGAGCACGTTCTAGATGATTCTGTTCATGTGAAGCGACAGGTGACAGGCAATACGTATTTTTGGTCACAAAGCCCACGGCCCGGCCACCTCTGGGGTTGGGGAGAGGAACCTCTGGAGAGCTAGAAGGTTTTACTTCTTGGTCTGGTGATTACACAGATGTATACACATGTATCTTTAAGATTTATTCACCTTCCTGTAAGTTCTGTTTAAATAAAAAGAAATTAAACCAGAAATAATATTGGAAAAAGATCCCAATCTGAACACTTTCCTGTTCTAGCACTCACTTAAATTTCTCTGAAATATTGCCTCTGTAAAAGCCAGGAGCTGGGGGTGGAGCTCAGTGGTAAAGCACTTGGCTAGCATGTGGAAGGTCCTGGGTTCAAGCCCCAGCACCAATTTAAAAAAAGTCAAAATGTGTCTTTTAATATTTTCTTTCATAGAATTCACTAAATCTCACTGAAATGCTCTCACATGAAACAGCCCTGTGCAATTTTATTTCTACTTCC